CTTCATAGAATTTAAACTGCAAATAACTTCACCGTGTCTCTCAAATTCTAATATATAATACATGTGACATTCAAAGTCCATACATTTACTCATTATGTAAAAACTGTGTATTTAGTGCTTCCCAAAACTGTTCACATCCTTTGGTACTATTGGCATTAACTTAACAGACTACTAAATAGAAGATGGTTTCTTAACCTGATGTTCAAATAATTATGTATGAGTTTAGGACAGTGGTTCTCAGTCTTAGCTGCATTAAAATTAACTGAGGGATCGCCGAAACCGGTTTGGCTCAGTGGATAGAGCGTCGGCCTGCGGACTGAAGGGTCCCAGGTTCAATTCCGGTCGGGGGCGTGTACCTGGGTTGCGGGCACATCCCCAGTAGCAGCTGATCGATGTTTCTCTCTCATCTATGTTTCTGGCTCTCTATCTCTCTCCCTTCCTCTCTGTAAAAAATCAATAAAATATATTTTAAAAAAAATTAACTAAGGGATCTTTACAAGCCGCAACCTAGTCCATATTAAATTAGAATCTTTGGGGTTTGATTCAGCATCAGTGTTTTTGAAAATTCCCCCAAGTAATTCCAAAGAGCAGCCAAAATTGAGTACCAGCTGAGAAGAATCTACTTTATAGTTTACTAATACATTATATTCAGAATGTTATACATTCCCCCCCCCCTCAAGAACTTTGTTACTTTTAAAATATTACTTTACCCAGAGAATTGATGGTTACACTTTATATGAAAGAGATGTCTTGGATCACCAGCCTTTTTACTTGTGGTTCTTTTTTCTTTCTGATAAAGCAGGGTAGGGAATTCAGGTTCTTTATGTCATACTGTAGTGAAGGAAGGATTACAGGGCCTGGCAAAATATGGCTGACTCAAAGACAATCCTTTACAGTAAGTACTTGCTGTCAAAAAATTAATACTTTAAATTAATACTTTCTATTACCATTATCCAAACATATTCTGTGGTTCCTTGTCCTGTGTCTTTGTTCACAGCACTCCTATCCTACAGTCTCCCTCTGCTCCCTACATGATAGTCAATAATCAAATTAAAGGTAATCTTAATCCTACATAGAACAAACAAAAAAAGAGTGGAGAAATAACCATATTGCTAATGTTACATATTTAAGTTGAAATTATAAATGTAAATTATTATTACTTAAATGTGCAATTGTAGAAGGCTTGATCATTCCCATGATTTTATCATGGGGGCATAAGGATTTTTCCCATTGTTAACCAGAAGGTATGACATATTAAAATAACAAAATAGTACAATATTTAATAGATACATTTTTGTCTAAAACATTTTTAAGAATGCATCTACTGCAGAAAATGAGTTATATCAAATTAAAGAGGTTTAGATTATTAATGAAAATATGTATGGAGAATATAGTATATATTTTCTTCTCTATGTGAGATGTATAATCAACATATGACATGGTTCTTGCCCTCAAGGCTTTCATGATCTTAACAGTATTGCCTAAAGGTAAACATAAAATTATAATGTACCTTTTCATAAGGACAAAAATACCTATTCTTTTAAAAAAAAAAAAAAGATTCCTTTCCTAATTACCTAAAATTTTGAATTTTACCCTTAAGAATTTTAGTTTTCAATACCTTTCAACCCAAAATTATTAACTTTGTAGAATTTTAATAATAGTTGTAATTAGAAACTAGAGTTGATTTTATTTCTCAATAAAATCCTTTACTAGACCCTTTTTATACTTCTGTATTTTTAACAGTGTCAGAGTTTTGATATATGTTAGAAAATGCCATTTACTAAGCTATGCATTTTATATCAAACTGTCCAAAAATCATTCTGTAGGTAAGTATCATAATTTCAGTAAGGAGCCCTAACCAGTTTGGCTCAGTGGATAGAGCATCGGCCCACGGGTTCAAGGGTCCCAGGTTCAATTCCGGTCAAGGGCATGTACCTTGGTTGCGGGCACATCCCCAGTGAGGAGTGTGCAGGGGGCAGCTGATCAGTGTTTCTCTCTCATCGATGTTTCTAACTCTCTATCCCTCTCCCTTCCTCTCTGTAAAAAAATCAATAAAATATATATATTTTTAAAATTTCAGTAATGAAGAAGTTGAGGATCAGACTATTTAATAGTTTGCCCAAGGTTTCATACTCATACAAACACATGATTTGTTGCAAATACTCATTTTTGCTCTAGTACAGTTTCACACTTAAAAAAAAGTATATTTAATTAAAGATACCTGTAAGGTAGTGTTATGAGAATCACAAATAAAATATTAAATAATTGAGCAAACAAGCCTTTTGACCTGAAGATTGAAATGTTTTGTTTTTCAAATAATTAACTTTGTAAGTGTTGGTTCTCTGAAATATTGGGGGAAAACTTGCCCTGAAACCTAACTTGTATCAGGAAAACTAAATGACTTTCTTAAATCACTATTTATAAACATTATTTAGTAATGTCTAGCCCATTTGTTTAATTCCATTGTGTTTCTAAAAAACATCAATATGGCCCTAGCAGCTGATTTGGTTCCATGGATAGAGCGTCAGCCTGCGGACAGAAGGGTCCCTAATTCGGTTCTGGTCAAGGGCACTTACCTTGCTTGTTGGCAGTCTCCTCCCCATCCCAGCGTGTGGGAGGGAACCAATAGGTGTGTTTCTCTCACATCAATATTTCTCTCGTGTCTTTTCCTCTCTCTTCCACTCTCTCTAAAGATATATAGGAAAATATCCTTGGATGAATATTTTTTTAAAAACTCAATAAAGTTTACCATGATTTTATGTACTGAAAAAAATAGGCCTGCAGGCTTATAATGTTTGGATAATATTTTTCATTTAGCTCTCTTATAATAGTTCTTAGCAGAGTGCTTTGCACAAAGACTGACTTAATAAATACTGGTTCTTAATTATGGATCTGTTGATTGTTGTATTAATCTAGTCTTGGGTTTTAAGTATGAATTAAGACTTCTACCAACAAAAGTAATAATATTTAGAGCCACTAATGATCCTCCAGAAATGCAACTGGAAGATAAATCATCAGAGGACTCTATACTCTTCCTTATGTCTTTACATAGCTCATTTTTTATCATCCCATCTCAGTTGTTACCAGTTCAGAGAGGCTATTTTTCTTACCATTCACATCTGGCAATCCTCAAACTCCTGCTCCCTCTTCCAGGCCCAGCTTGCATATCCCTCTGCCTTTTAAACCTGATTCTCCTGCCCTCCCTCTCCCTGCAGAATGAATTCTTCCGTTCTCTACACTTGAATTCATTAATCCAAGCAGTTAATCATTTAGTAACTCACTCAAGAAATAATAGGACCACCTGTGTTGGTCCTCTGTCCACCTTCCTTTTATCTTTGTATCCTTATCAAAGTATTTAATTACTTGTTTATTGTCTCAATGATCTACTGGTAGATCATCCTTTGTAGATAATGTTAACCTGTGTGTATTAACATGTAAAATTTAATCTGTATCTCTGCAGTAGGTCTGTTGCTTAGCATCTCATGGATCTGAAAGAAGACTAGAGTTCTCTCTTAAGATCGAGATTGCATAGTTACCCAGCTGACCTTGGGAGAAGGGTTTTGATTTTTGCCTAATGCCTCTCCTGTGCTCAGTTGCAATACACTCAAGTATATGGGCTTAGGGCGGCAATACCTTTGGAACTGCTTTTCTCAGTCCCACCCATTGGGTCAGGGCTTGGCTAAGGCCTAAGACTTTACAAAAACTATTAAAGCTGTTATTTCTAGCACCTGAACAAGACCTTGTTGGGCGTTATAAAGTCTAAAAACAACATTCTAGAGGACCTTTCAGCTAAAAGTGCTAAGTTATAATCAACTGAAAGTATTAGACCAAAAACAAGGATGCTGGAAGAAACATAATAAAACTCAGGCAAGTGGAGCAGAAGATACTTTAGGAAATGAAGGGGGGAGAAAAAGCAAGGTGAACATTATATTTTGTTACCAGAAATGAGTCATGATTAATGAGCATAGAATTAGTGCTAGTAGTATGCCTGTGTTATGGTGGGAAAAGCCATATATTCTAGAAAACAAATATGCATGATAAGCAGGCTGAGTCATCACTTCTAGTATTTAATGAAAAATATCCAGAAGTCTTCGTAAAATCTAAAAAGAAGGAAATCTTTTTGCTTCTTTATTACTGTGTATGCAATGTTGCTTTTCCTGAAAAACCAACACAAGATAATGTACATTGAGTATATTTAACTACATTTTATGATCTTTAAAAGATGCCTCCATAGTATGGATAGGATATATTCCAAAAATTAGTCTATACATCGATTGCTGGAACATATCCTGAGGAAACAACTTGAATGATAGTTTTTCAGAACATCTCATAAAATCCTATCTAACTAGGTGTGATTAAAGTGCCAATAATATAATGCCACATTAAACATAAACAGCCCTTTTTAAATTCAATAACAATGACCAGACACTGAACAATGTGATTTACATTCCTACTCTTAATTAACTTTCAAAGTACTGTCTCTTTGAAAGTTATACTGACTCTTCTTTATGATAGAGGATACCTAAGGAAAAAATATTTAAAAGCTTCCTCAGATCACACAGCATTGCAGACAGAGTATGAATTCATATCCAACTGACTCAAAGCTCTTACTCCTTACCGCTATGCTACCTTTATAAGTCAGAAATATTTATATACTAGACAGTGTGTTCGATTTTCTGTAGAATTCACATCATACATTTTAGCAGAACTGAGGATATGTGTTAAATATAAGATAGTAAGATAGGATCATAATAAATGCTACAAAAGAGGTATAGATAAGGGCAAAATTATCGTAGGAGCAAAAACAGTAACATTTACATGCAGTGGTTTACAAATAATTGTATGTTTGGGATTGTTTGGATTTGAGTTTTCTTTTTAATTATTAATATAGGTTGCTAAAATGTATTTGCAATATATTTAATATTGTTTTAAAATAATCACTAACAGTTCACAGAAGAAAAGCTTGGCCAGGCAGAGAAGACAGAATTGGATGCTCACTTAGAGAACCTTCTTAGCAAAGCTGAATGTACCAAAATATGGACAGAAAAAATAATGAAACAAACTGAAGTGTTACTGCAACCAAATCCAAGTAAGAAACTTTTTACCTTTTGCCTACCTTATTAACTATTCCTATTAAAAAGTTCTGTTAGTAGGATTTTTAATGTTAAAAAGTTTTAATTTCTATTGGAAAACAGAATTTTTTGTTTATAGCTTTGAGATTATGGTTATTTTTTGTGTGCCTTGGTTAAGAAGAGGGTGATAAACATTTCTTTGTGTATCACTTAACAAACTGACAACATTTTTCAGGCTTTTGTAAAATCCTCTTGAAAATTCAATTTCAGGCAGTGACTTTGAATTTTAAGTTTTAAGTTTATGTTAAGTTTTATGTTTATGTTTATTTTAAGTTTATGTTAAGTTTTATGTTTTTACAGAAATTACTCCATTTGATTTTCTGACAACCCTAAGCAGATCACTAAATAACCAAATAACCTTGCAAATAAGATGCACTATAATTGTTTATTAATTGAAACTCACAAGTTAGCATTTTGTCTAATTTAGTATAGCTAATTAGAAGGGGAACTTGAACTAGAACCAAGCACATTACAGTCTTTACTGGGAGCTTACATATCAAAATAGAAGGACAAAGGCAACAATGCATGCTTTCCTTCCTCTTTTCCCCCAGTGTTATTGTGACCATGTTGTGAGTGCCATAAACTTATTTTTAAGTACTTAAAATTCCAACTTTGTTGCTATTGCATAAAAACTCAAGCACTGTACAAACTATTAGTAATTCTGTGCAGTTTTATTTAAATTGCAGTGACTTTTTAAACTAAGCCTTTTACACTTTGAGGCCTAGTCTTGGGATACTATGTGGTATTTGTTATTCACTTAAGGCTACTTAAATTATATACCATGGCACCTAAAAAAAAAAAAAAAATAGGTTTTCCTCTTATTTCTTGCTCTATCCAGAGTTCCTCGCACACATAGTCTGTTCTAAAACATGTTTTCCAGAATGGCAAATAAAGTCGTGCATGATGGTAAATAGGAATGGTGTTCTTATAAAGAAATTATGATGGCTCATAAATATTATTTTATATTAGTGTTTTAATTCAAAAGTAGTAACAGAATTCTTTTTATTTTTTTGTTTGTACTCTGGTTATAAAGTTACTTAGGTTTTGTGTGGTTAAACCCAGCTCTTTTTCTGTAAGCCCTGTTATTTTTAGTGTATGATTTTTTAGAAACTAGGGTTTTTCAGAAATATATATTGAATTATAGCAGAGTTGCATAAATGTTTTTTAAGACTTAGCGAAATGAAACATTTATTTAAAATATACCAAATGTTTTATTAACTGAATGAAGTCAACATGGGATTTATACTTTTGACCAAATAGGTAGAAAGCAGCAAAGCTAAGAAGTACTGTGGTGGTCAGAAAATGAGATTCTGAAACTTAGGTAACATCATCTAAATGATTCATTTTAAACTGACCCATTTTGGTTTTAACTAATTTGATGGTTTTTAAATTCCTGCTTAAAAACTCTTCTGATATGTTTTTATAATGAACACTTTTGCCAACTCCTGAAGTGTTTCTGTATTGGTTTAGCTTATTTTTGAAATTTCATTGCACTGTGTAAAATTTACACTTGTGGAGGAATTATGTGAGATAATTAAAAGGACCATATTTAACTTCTTTTTGGATTATAATTTTAATTTATATTTAATCATTGTTTCTGGAAATTTGGACTTATTCTCATTTGTCTCTGAAATACCTCACTATTAGGCAGCAATGTGAATGTGAGTTTCTTGACTATTACACTAAAACGTTTATTCATATTTTTCCTTTCCACTTATACTAATGTTCTATAATTGCTTTTAACCTTTTGTCTTGTATTTTAATCTTATTTGTAATGGTGAAATCTTGAGTGACTACATGCTCAGCGGTATCTATGTATCTATATACTTTAAATATAATTATGCCAAGGCATCATATTGCTGATTTCTGTCTACAGACTATTCCAAGCCTGGATTACTCTGTTCTTAAACCCGTATGCCTATATTTAGACTCTAGGAGGGAGAGACAGCTTTGAGCAAGCAAAAGCCCAAAAAAGATGTCAGAAGTATATGACTCTTTGGTTCTTAAAGGTACCTTATATCCATATTTTAATAGTTGAAAATCGTGCTTTTGAAATTGAAAACATATATTCAGAGATAAAAGTTAGACATTATATGAATGGGGCAAATGCAATTTCACTAGATATAAAGTGAATACCAGCCCTTTTTTAGAACTTAAAATCCCATAAAAAACTCATATAATGGTTTTACTTTACTTTAAAATATTTTGTTCCAAAATATTTTTCATATTTCTAAAATAGTAAGTTCCTTAGAGCTATATAATACTCAATATATAAATTAAACAATTATCCTATATAATAAAAGGGTAATATGCAAATTGACCGAATGGCGGAATAACCAGTGGCTGTGATGTGCTCTGACCAACAGTGGGCAGACACTCAACGCAGAAGCTGCCCTGTGGTGGTCAGTGCTCTACCACAGGAGGAGCACCACTCAGCCACAAGCTGGGTTGATGCCTGGCAAGCACAGCGGTGGTGACGAGAACCTCTCCCGCCTCCGCAGCAGCGCTAAGGATGTCCCACTGCAGCTTAGGCCCACTCTCCAATGTCCCACTGCAGCTTAGCCATGAGTCAGACATCCCCCGAGGGCTCCCAGACTGCAAAAGGGTGCAGGCCAGGCTGAGGGACCCCCCCTACTATAGAGTACATGAACGTTGTGTGCTGGGCCTACAGTGTATTAATATAAGTACTTGAAAGCATGCTAATTTCATATTAATTTTCCAGGGTGATAAATGTCTGGTAGTGGAACAAAAGGGTCTTTTAAATAGTTTTGCTATTTTGAAATTGGTAATTTTAAACTTTTCTTGTAGATGCCAGGATAGAAGAATTTGTTTATGAGAAACTGGATAGAAAAGCTCCAAGTCGTGTAAACAACCCAGAACTTTTGGGACAATATATGATTGATGCAGGGACTGAGTTTGGCCCTGGAACAGCTTATGGTAAGTGAGAGGCAAAAGGTCTATTAACAAATATCTTGTAGGTTTTTACTACTTAGAGACATCATTAACATTTACCTAATATCAGTGGAATGACTTTTAACTTCAAAATTTTTATGTTAAAATTTTCAATGAAGGGAGAATTATCAATAACAAATAAGTATGTTCATTTCAGTTTAATTTTTATTTAAGCATATGTTGTTCTGAGATTTCATATGATCTTTTTAGGTTTAAAATGTTAAATGGATTCTTCACTTGCACTCTTGCAATATCTCTGTTGTGGTACTTAAGATACATTGTAGTTTTTGTTTACATATGTCTCCTCTTTTTTTCAAGCTTCTTGAGGGCTTATTTTATAAGTTGGAATCACTGTTGCTTTCATTACACTTAATGTCATTAATATAAAAATGTTAACAATGGTTTTCTCTGGATATTTGGATTACATTTCATTTCTATTTTCTTCATATAGTTTCATTTTTTTATGATCATGTTTTACAGTTTCTCCAGCTTTGTTAGTTGTTATACTGACTCTTTTAATGTATAACTCTGGAGTTCAAAGTTATATACTATTATCCTTCAAATCTAATTTTCTCAGAATATACAGCAATTTTGGAATTCTATAGCTTTTTTCCTGTTGTTCGTCCTTTTTTTTATTGCTTAAAGTATTACAAAGGGTATTACATATGTGTCCTTTTTTTTTTCCCCACCCTTGACAATCCCCTGGCCTCCCTTGTTCGTCTTTTTAAGACTTCTGCAAGAAATTGGTTCTAAAATTGAATATGAAATGATAGCTAAAATAAATGATTTTTTATATATATATAATCCTGATTTATGAAATAGCTCATAAATTCTGGAACTAAATGAACTTTAACTTTAGTAGGTCTCTTCTTTATGTCAGAGGAAATAACCTAAATACTGTGTAATCAATGCCATTTAACCCAGTTAGATGTACAACTTTAAAATTTTTACATTGTGTTCTTCAAAATATTTTTTTCAGAACTAGGGAGATACTTTAAATCTTTATAGTTTTATTTCTAAAGTTTAACTATTAATTTTAGAAAAACTATATACATTAAGCAGATTTTTTTATTATCTGCTTATGCCAGGCACAGTTTTATGAAGTCATAAAAGTTTAAGGAGACCCAAGTCTTTCCTTCACCAAAATGAAGGCCTGGTGGAAGATGATCATTTGAAAGGCTTCTAAATTTTTTTCTTTTATAATTTACTTAATCTGTTTTTATCTCTAATAATTCCATTGAATATACCCTGATTATTGGAATTGGGCTTTGAGAATATATATTATTAATTGGTAATAGCTAACAATTGAGTATTTCAAGCATTAGAATACTGTATATAAGTATTATTTCAATAAATCCCCATTTTATATCCTACTTATAAATTCTATCTCCATTTTTAAAAAAGGAAACTGAGTCTAAGAGAGGTTACATAATTCATCCATGATCGTATACCTAGTAATTCAAATGTAGATCTGTATCCAGAAATTGATCTCTTAACTGCTATGTTATATTATTACTTCCTTACCAATCAGATCTAATCTCATTCTAACGTGAAGGAATTAAGATCCACAGAACTAAAGCTTATTAGAGATAGAACTGGGAGTAGAATCTTGATCTTGTGGTTCTCTTTTCTTTCACTATTTTCCACAGTAATTTTCTTTCAAAACATGGATTTTTTCTTTAACTTAAAATACAAATATATGGCATACTGTTATTTATAGATATTTGAGATAAGTACATAAATATAGAAACAGAAGTAAAATTTTGACTTGATCTACTTAGTAAAATATTTTAAGCACTATACTTTTATAAACAAATCTATACTATTTGAGCTGTGATGGTACATACTTTTCATTGTATCCATCCTCTTTTGTCCCATTGATACAATTAGTACAATTAACTCTGACATGAGTTTATCTTTGTCATTTTTATTTAGATATTTATAATCTTAATAACTTTTAAAATAAAACTGCCTGCCCTAACCGGTTTGGCTCAGTTGATAGAGCATCGGCCTGCAGACTCAAGGGTCCCAGGTTCAATTCCAGTCAAGGGCATGTACCTTGGTTGCAGGCACATCCCCAGTGGCGGGGGTGCAGGAGGCAGCTGATCGATTTTTCTAACTCTCTATCCCTCTCCCTTCCTCTCTGTAAAAAATCAATAAAATATATATTTTAAAAAAATAAAATAAAACTGCCTTATTTTACAGTTATTTTATTTAAAATAAGTTATTTCTATTTGATTTTTACTTAAGTAAACAAGTAACAACTATGAAGCAGATCAAATTGCTGATTTACGTTGACATGATTGTTTTCCAACATTATCAGACAATGGTTTAAAAACTTTTTTTTTTTCCTTTTCAGGTAATGCTCTTATTAAGTGTGGAGAAACACAAAAGCGAATTGGAACTGCAGACAGAGAGCTGATTCAAACAGCAGCTTTAAATTTTCTCACTCCTTTAAGAAACTTTATAGAAGGAGATTATAAAACAATTGCTGTGAGTTGAAAGTGCTTTAATTTTTATTAAAATATTTAGATATATGTTTGCAGTTTTTAGTGAATAATTTGCCATCTTAACTATGTAGATGTCACAGATTAGAAATTTTAAATAACCTAGCTAGGTATGTATTTAACAGAACACAAAGCTAATTAAAATACAGGACTATTGATTATACGGACTCCATTTTTGTGTCCCTGTTATTGAGATACTCTTACATCATTCTTACTTATTACCAGTATTAAAATCTATAGAGAGAGGTTCCTGCAGTGATTATTAAAATATGGCACAAAATATCACCATAGGATAGCCATGAAACTGGGAGCCAGAAACCTAATTATTAGAAGCTATATTTCTGGCTCTTAGACTTCTTGTCTTTTTGCATCCCTACAAGTCTGTTTTCTTTTTACATAGCTGTGTTATTTGCTGATGTGTAAGAAATATCACTTTCCCAAACCCGATCTATTAGTCTATTATTAAGTGATGGAGGATGGAGATTTAGGTGGCTATTTTTTCTAGGATTATTGCAAGACTGCTCTATTTTAAATATTAGGTCAAACATTGCTTGCAGGTTTCGTGTTATAAAATATTACAGAAAACATATTTACCATGAATTTATCTCTAGGTAAAAGTATTTGGCTGAGACAAAGGAAAAATCAGCAAGTTGAAATACAATTTAAAAGATAATAGATTGTCATTGGGATGAAATTTGATATATGAAATCTGTCTAAAAATAAAACAAACAGTGACTATTTTATAGAAGCTTGAAGTTCCCATGAGGAATTCGATGTTTACTCATTATCTATTCTGTAAGTTGGAGTAGTAGAGTTGCTTTCCATGCTATGGTACATGTGATCACATAGCGTATCAAGCAGCTTTACACTAGGCCTATACTTCCTTCATCATAGGCACTTTCTAGATAAACTGTAATGCTGTAAAAGTTTTTCATTCCAGTCTGGCCGGTGTGACTCAGTGGTTAAGCATCGACCCATGTACCAAGAGGTTGTGGTTCGATACCCGGTCAGGGCACATGCACGGGTTGCAGGCTTGATCTGCAGTGTGGGGCGTGCAGGAGGCAGCCAATCGATGTTTCTCTCCTTCTCTCTGAATTCAGTGAAAATACTTAAATTTTTTTAAAGTTTTTCATCCTGGGCACTACTGGCATTTTAGGCTGAATAATTCTTTGTTGTGGGAGCTATACTGCATTGTGGAATGTTTAGCACCATTCTTGGCTTCTACCATTGTCTGCTAGTAATATTCCTCCCCCAGTTGTGATAACCAAGAAGATACTGCCAGATGTTTCCTGGCGAGCAAAATCCCAAAATATTAAAAATAATATTTCTGTTTTCACTGTCACCTGCCATCTTACCCAGATATCTAGAATGTCTCCATTGTTTTAAAATTGAGAACAGTAGGAAAAAGGAGTCAAATACTGTATAGCCAGTTTTGTAATTATAGATCTCAGTTTATCAGATGATCCGTATATTTTATGGAAAATAATACTTTAAATACTAATGTAAAATAATATTTTAAAAGTATGCTCTTACTGGCTTTTAATATCATTAGCCTTTATATTTTTCTTATAGAAAGAAAGGAAGCTACTACAAAATAAGAGACTGGATTTGGATGCTGCAAAAACCAGACTAAAAAAGGCAAAAGCTGCAGAAACTAGAGCTTCAGTAAGTAGTGTTCTTTAATTTAAAAAACATTTTAGGTTAATAATTTTCAGACTTGTAAAATATTTTATTCATGTACAGTGCAAGCTACAATTCGTCCATAAGACTAGAATATGACTTTAGAGTGTTGTTTTTGTTATCAGGACTTAATATATCCAAATCAGTGCAAAGTAGTTATATCAGCAGGCAATGTTCTTATTTCAGTGATACCCCTGTTGCTAAAAAACAAAAATTATGAGAATTATGAGCTCCTCAAGCTGTGTCATGTTGTTTAAATATCCTCAGTCACCAGTGATGGCAAATAGATTTTTTGGAGATAGCTTGATTATATTTGAAATAGAAAAATAAATAGTAATTAAGATGAGAATGAATCACACTAGAAAATGCTTGTGTGTGGCTTAAAAGGTAGATGGAACTCTTTCCACATGTGACTCAAACTGACTAAAGGAGTTGTCACCAAGAATAGCTTCAAAAACATTCAAACAGAGGCAACAGGGACTGACAGGTGACTGCTTTGCAGGGAAGGAAACCTATTTGGATAAATAAGTTCTTGTATACTTTTCATAAAAACAATCTCAGATAAAACTGAGTGGGTATATATTAAATGTAGTAATTCAATGATAATGTATATAAAACTTTGTGTAAAGGTTTTATTTATAAGCTTCTTATTTAATCTAACATTTATATTGTTTAAATCTTTATTCCAAAATTTGAAGAGATGAATCAGATTTGAATTGGAACAACTTTGTGATGGTACAAATATAAACAAGTCTGGATTTATTAGAGGACGCTAATAAGTTAATTCTTAATTTGAGCTAAGAGATATGTTTTGTTAAGAGCCTTATTACATTCCCACTGCCTTCTGTTCACAATTCACTACCATTACCACCATCAAAAATCATTGCCTTAAGGAGCATGTTACCACAGTATTGGTAAAAGTCTCTTGTGCCTGTCATTTTGGGAAAGAAAAGACTGAGACTTGATTTTGAATGAAATTTAAAACTGATAACTTGGTATTGGACAGTGATGTCTTATGAGATTACCCCAGTACCTTGTATGTGCAAAATAAATTATTTTCTTCTGTACTGTTTCTCTTTTGGAGATTCTATATTAGTTACTGCAGGAAGCATGCTATCTTTGACAGGGCAGTAATTCCAAATTCACTGTCAATTTTACCTCAGAATTATCCTGACATCATCTTCAGGAACAGCCTAACTTTCTTAAATAGGCTTTTTGCATTTACTTCCGTTTACTTAGAGAATACAGAAAAATAGAAACCACCAGAAGTTTGGGTTTGCTTTATTTTTTTCTTCTTTGACACATTTCCTAGTTTTAAGTGGCAGCTGAAGAGGTTACTGTAACCTCGGACTTTCTTTGATTTTACTTATTTATAAATTTCCATGGATTATTTTATGACTAGTTTATTCCTTTGAATGGGAAAGCTGTGGGTAGACAAAAGGGCTTTCATAGTGAAAATTTTAATAAAAATTATAGATAATGGCAGCAGTTTTTAAAGTAATGCATTTTCCCTAAATGATTTTAATTTTAAATCAGGCATCAACCATATTTTTTGTCTTTGAAAATTTGAATCTTTTGGAAAAATAGAATAGGTACCACTATGAAATTCCATAGAACAAATAGAGAGTTTTTTTAAAGTAATAATACCTGTTTGTGTGTTCTTTATTGTGCAGAAAAAACTTATTTCACTGTGTTCATTGGTATAATGTGTTCTTTGTCTCTTACCTATGTATTTAAGCAACTAAACTCAGCTCACCTTGAAGGAGATAACATTATGGTAAATTTCTCTTACATGCTCAACTTCCTGCATGTAAAATGGCTAAAGGTTTGTTGGCCTACTGTGTTTTCTACATCTTGAATAAAGTGCCTTCTCCTGCTATCATCTGCATTTAATGGTCTAAAATATTCAAAGACGTGTGTTCATTAGTTTAACAAAATATATGTGGAATAGTAGCTTAAATAATATTGGAACTAAAAAGAAAGAATGTGTTCTAATTGCCAAATATATTAGCTATGCCAAATTCAGATTTTACAGTCTGAATTTACACATAAATTTATCGTGCCTTTTATGCCCTATAAAAGATGTTAATTTAGCTGTCACTTTATATGTTCACTTTTGGCAAAGAAAATTAACAAAACTTATTAACTTAGAGAAAGGGATAAGATATACATATTTATTTTGTTTCTCAGTATCTTCAACATCCCCCTTAATTTTCACCCAAACTCAACATAGAATGAATTTCTTTTGCAATTCCAGGCCAAAACAAACCTCAATAGTTTTGGTATTTATGTAGTGGGAAGGCCCATTCCTCCATATGCTCACTTAAGAAAATTGCAGAATAGAGACAATGGTGGACAAGAATTGAAAGTGAGAATTGTTATATATAGTATCCAAAGTATGTATTGAGCTTGATTGGAGGAAATTTAGGAGATGCTAGAAATTTTTTAAAAATATATTTATTGCTTTCCTTGCTGACATTCGGTGATAAAATTGTATGGTGTTTTAAAAAAAATATGTTTGTATTGATTTTAGAGAAAGAGCAAGGGAGAGGGAGAGAGAACCATCGATTGGCTGCCTTCTGCACTCCCCCTACTGGGGGCAACCCAGGCATATACCTTGACTGGGAATCGAACTGGTGACCTCTTGGTTCCTTGGTCAACTGCTGAGCCACACCTGGCCAGCTGGGAATTATTGATTTTTTAACATGATAGAAATATGAAAAATCTGAACACTGCCCAAATCTTAAAAGTGTTAGCTAGTAAAGATTTGTGAGTATTTGGTATATTATATTCCTACATAAATTACTTCCACAGAAGTGACATGGAAATTGTAGTAAAGTTGATAATAAATTGGCAGTTAAACTAACTGCTTTTATTCCCAGTATTAGCATTGAATTAAAAGGGGGATGGGGTGCAATCCATGAATCACTGACTAAATGAGGGCTTTCCTGAGATAGCAAGAGAATGCATTTATTTATTTCCATTGTCCTATCTGTAGGAAAATGAAAAGTGTGAGACTATTTCTTTCTGTCATTGGTAAGTTAGTATATAAATTGTAGGTTTTCTTTTGTCAAAATATCCTAACCAATTAGCAAGACTGTTTCATTTATTAGGCACTTGTCCTATTACTGATATCATCTACTTATAATAAGATGTATTTAACTCTGGTAATTTTAAATCCATTATACTAGTATCACTAGTTTATTGTCTCCCCCCGCCCCCACCATCCCAATGACTATATCTGTGTTCAGTGTACATTTACCTTTGCTTTATTTTAATTTCCTAAATTTGTAGAGTGTAGGCCTAATGAGGAATTAGAAATCATTTGGTCCAAACTTTTCTAAATAAGAAAACTAGAACTAAGAGGGGTTAAATATTCCATTTTAGATAACTGTTATCCTTATTAATTTAGAGAATCAGTATAAGATTCAAAAATCAATAGTATTTATACATATGAAGGCATACTTTCACAGTATATTAAGCTGTACTAATTTAGTTACTACTATATTTCACCTGATAATGTGATCCTGAGAAGAGGAGTATGCCATTTGAATTAAAATATTTACATTTCTCTATACTAAGTTGTAGAAAGTGTTAAATTCCAACTTTCATGCTGTATATTTTTCTCTAATTTTTAATGCTGGCTAGATTTGGGCAGAGGAAGTGACAAAAGTAAGTAAATTATTAAACTACAGAATTATGAAGCAAATTTAATTGTCATTCACTCAGAGAATATTGGACAATAACCGTGGGGCTAGTCACAGTCTTTGTTACTGTATCTTATAAAATCTGAAAATGATTATGGAACACTCAGGTCCACAGGGCAATAGAACAGTCCTGCAGAGATATTGTTTGCACACAATGTTGATACCTGATAGATTAAGTGGTAATCTTTATAGTGCCTTGCCAGAGACAGTTTAAATACTTGGTTTATTCATATGGCAATTATGTAAAATATAGTTAACATTATATTCTCTGTGTTCGTGTCACACAAGTAAATTTTCTAGGTAACTGAAGCTTGTTCTCTCCAGCACCAAAGCTTATTTTTCTGTCACTTTAGTTAAAAACATTTGTAAAAAAGTATTTTGATGCTGCATTAAACAGGATAACATATATTGAATTTTACTTAAAGTTAGGGTCTTTATTATGAATATTCATTATTATACTGTGTAACAATTAGATTTTTTGTTTTTGAAGTGTGTTGTCTTCTTGTCAAACAGTCACTTTTAGAAGTTGTCCATATGTCTGCGACTAGCCTGTTGTTACCATTTCTAATCTTTCTGGGCTGGGAAATCAAATAACTAAGCAAGAATTTAATAAATAAAATCATGACTTTAATGCAGATTTGTTTTAAATGCTATTGGAAATCTTCAGAAACGTTTTTCATTTACTTTATTTTTTGACAAAAGGATTGCTGACTATACAATCTGTTCTGTGCATACGTATGGAGCTGTTGATTCTATGACTTGGCAATCCAATGTGAAATTCTTAACTTATATTCTCATCCCCTTTTGTGGAATCTATTCATCAATTTAGCTATAGTTTCACCCTGGCCTCTAATGTCTTTTAGAACTTCTAGCATGAAAAGATGGCAGAGTAATATAGAGGAGAATATAGATTAAGCAAGAAAACCAGGGTCTCTTCCACTTTGGTTAGCATGCAAGTATACTTAAAAAATTTATTTGATTCAATCTCTACAACTTTAGGAAATATTTGATATAATGGGAAACAATTCATGAAACAAATACTTATATTACATATATATGAGAGGAACTTAAGAAATATATCAAAAATTCTTCTGTAAATCTCACTTTTGTCATAATTTAAAAGTGTTTAATTTATGTTTCTGGAATATTTTAAAGATTTAAGCCCACAGGATAAAGTAAGTAACACTGACGAAGTTTGTCACAGAAAATACATGATTTAAATTTCTAGCTGATATCACAGACCAACAAATTCTTGCCCTTTTCCCAAGTTACATCTTAAAAGGACTTTTCTTGCTTTTCTGATCCAAGTTATGCTACCATATACTCTAGATCAGTGGTTCCCAACGTGGGGCACATGCCCCACAGGGGGGCAATTTGATTTTTAAGGAGGGCAATTCGAGAATGAGTTATTAACAGTGAAGTTTTTGCATTTCTTATGGTTCTAGGGGCCTCATATACAGTATATAAATATATTTTGTGTATGTTTATGCATTTCAGTTCTCTATTATGTGTTTTGAAACTTTATTTGCTATTTTTTCATATCACTTCATATTACTAAATTTTAAATAATTTCTTAGTTATTTCTTCCTCAGTATTTCAACTGTCCTTTTGTTATTTTATTTTTCTCTTTCATCGATGCCTTATTCTTTGGAAGTTTGTTTAGACGAAGTTAATGGCCTTTTAGGCTTCCTCCACGTGAATAGGACTTCACTTTTTGAATAAGAATTATAGGTCACAGAAGGGGCATTGGGATTTTAGAGATGCTTAGGTGGGGCATGGCCAAAAAAAGGTTGGGGACCACTGCTCTAGATCACTTAGCCCATTAACAGTAATCTAAGCAGTAATTCTTTTCTCTAGAACTCTACCTTTCAATTGTAAAATTAAGTCAGGGAATGAGATCTTCTGGAGGACAGAATAAAAACCCTTTAAATTTATTGTCTTTCTTTAAACCCTTTTTACCTGTCTAGTATGGATCATTTTCTTCCTAAGTAAATTGATTATGCTGAACCTAATTTCAGTTAACCTTTGCCTCTCAGACTCAATTATATGTGTAGAAGTAGAAATTATTTGGGACTTTCATCGCTTGCAACTACCCCAGTACACACTGAACCTTGTTTGTTTTTTAATGAGATTTTTTTTCTTCCTATCATTTACCTTTTCTAAATATAAAGTCTAGGTTGCTCAAACCTGGAAGTCTGATCCCTTGTCCTTGAGATTATTTTATTTTTTTATTCAGTGTCTTAGCTTTAAAACACTAGTTCCACATCTCCACACCAAATCACCAAAACCAAATTCTTCAATCTGAACCTTGAAGCCTTCTTAACATCCTCACTGTTTGGAATCCATTGTCATCATTAACTTTGGTTATGCTTGTGTACGGCAATCATGGTAGCATCCCCCTTAAAGGAATTAAATTTGAATCCTCTTTTCATATTTTGACTCACTGCCAGGTTATTAAAATTATTTGAAAGAGAAAAACAAAACAAAACATTATTTCTACTTCAGACTCAAACTTCCATGTCACTTTTAATCTACTTAGCATACTTATACCTTGTACAAAAATATTGTCACTTAGTAGGCTTTTCTGCCATTAAAGCCTACTAAAGGTTATTAATTCAAGTTGTACATGGAACTAGCCTCATTTATTTATTTTTGGTTTGTTATGGTTATTTCTATTAAACAAACTGTTTGCATTCAAGCAAGCAGAATAGTAAATAGTGCAAATGTAACACTGAAGTGATTGGTTTTCCTTAACATTTTCCTTAAGAAGAACATTGATTCTTCTCCTGGGACTTTTTTCCACTTCTTACTAGCTTCCAAGTGAAGGTTACTTCAGCCCTGTATCAAAGCAGCATGTCTTCATGGTGGTTTTAGTCAAGTAAATTTAATTTTAACACCATTTATTGAGTAATGTAAGCTTATTTCTATAAATCCAATCTACTGGTCAGTTCTTAGTTCCCTCTGCCAGGCCTGTTGCCAGTGAAATTAGAATACTTAAGCAACTGATTATCTATTTTGCTGCTGCTTCCTTGTTGATTGGTTCAATAGGCTAACTGTTGCCACTAAGGGTGAAAGAGAGGGAGATGGGGTATGAAAGGAAAAAGTTCAGACTGTTTATACTTAAAATAGTTTTACATAGTCCTGGAAATATTGCAATTATTTGGCTGGGGGTGGGAAGCTATTTATTCTGGAGAGGTGGAAAATACCATTATAATGTTATTAATAATGATGATCCCCAGTGAGAGAGCTATTTTGAGTGACCTACTCACTTACTACCAACCAACTCTTGCTAAAAGTTTGAGAAGATGGTTTTGCCAGTATTTACTGTTTTTATATTATGTTGATTTTTTAGTGATCTGTTTTGTCCCAGCACTAAACCTATATCAATGGTTGAAGCTAAGAGTAGTGTACTATTATACACACACCTCTTTCCAACTCCAAGTTCAGGGACTTGAGCTTGGTGGCTTGAAATCAACTGTGTAAGAGTATTTACACCATGAAAATAAACACATTAGTGCTTTTGTATTTCATAGAAAGTCAGTTTACCCCAGCACACCACTGATTAAAGGGAACCCATTACTTGCAGAAAAACCCTAGCATATCTTTTGGGTAATATTTCTGCTTAAAACATTATTTCATGCAAAGTTTGGAAAGAAAACTTAAAGACATTTATGTAGGTTAAAGAATCCTTAGAAGAAACCTAAAAACTATGTTCTAGAAACAAGTATATGTTTGGTAACTAAACACCCGAGTGGTTAAAATCCTGTGATTTTGTTCTGAACTTGTTCATTTAATATTAAAGACTATCTTTAAGTTCAAAATAAAGTAACTATAGTAGTAGTTGAGGATTTTTTGAAATATTTTATACATGTAAACTAGTGATTTTAAGATTTTGTAAAATGGCAAAGTTGATACTTGGAAATACATTGGTTGTCCCAGTAGTTTTTCTAGACTTTTATGTGTATGCCATTAAGCTTTGGCATTAATAGATTCTTTTGAGTCAAGTACTTGTAAGGAATCAGTTCTGTCTAGATTGAGTAATATAAAAAAAATAATGTCTAGAAACCAGGGACCAGTTTAGATACAAAAGCAGAATCAGAGAATTGCCAGATTATCATTTAGGATTTGTTTGGGGATTTTCTTTGACAGTCTACATAAATGTATGCAAAATGGACTAAGTCCTCTTAATGAGGTTCTAAAACTATGTTCCAATTTAAGTCTGAACAGGAGTTAAGAATAACTCAAAGTGAATTCGATCGTCAGGCAGAGATTACCAGACTTCTGCTAGAAGGAATTAGCAGTACACACGTGAGTATTCATTTATTGGAAATTCATTTGGAACAAAGGACTTTGATAGTCCTCAGGCAATTTGCAGAAGAAAACCTGAACTTCCTTTTTAGTTATTTATCAGGGAAATTTAAACTGTGACACTTTTTAAGATATATGAAGAAATATTTTAAATTTTTATTTATACTCTATCACCTAGTTCTCCCACCATAATCAACCATTTGTTGATTTTTGTTGGCTAAACAGTTTATTACACAGTTGGCCATGGTCAGTCTTAATAAGCCTTGTAGTAAAGTGCTAGATACTAGTGATTCTCCCTGAGTACAGTGTTGTATTCTGTTTCCCCTTATGATAGGTTATAGAGCTAAGAAGTGACTGTAACTTTCCTTCACAGGCCCATCACCTCCGCTGTCTGAATGACTTTGTAGAAGCCCAGATGACTTACTATGCACAATGTTACCAGTACATGTTAGACCTTCAGAAACAACTGGGAAGGTGGTAATTTTCTTTTCTCATAAAGTAGTATTAGAGATGAAGATTCGAAACATTAAAGGCTTTTATTAGCTTGCTTTAAGTCAGGTTTTTTATTTTTTAAATTTTTTTAATCTTCACCCAAGGATATTTTTCTATTGATTTTTAGAGAGAGGGAAAAACAGAGGTATCGGTGTGAGAGAAGCACATCGGTTAGTTGCCTCCTGCATGAGCCCCAACCAGGGCCCAGACCTAGAAGGAGCCTACAATCAATGTACATGCCCTTGACCAGAATTGAACCCAGGACTCTCTATCCACTGAGCCAAAATGGCTAGAGCAAAATCAGTTTTTTAAAAAAAGAAACCTATTATCAGACTTCTAAGGTTATAAAAAAACATTTTGAGCTCTTCTAACACAGAAGAATGTTAACAGGGATGAGAAGATAATTTAAGTGAATACCTTTATTGCGCTATGTAAAAATAGCTTCAAGGGTGTTTGAAGTTTACTTTTCAAGGAATAAGGCAAAAAATGTCCTCAACACTTTGATGTTCCTTTCTGCATATTAATCTTTCAAAACTAGACTTAGAAAAAAATTAAGCACATTTACAAAACAATTTTAGATCTTAAAAATGAATTGTATCCTAATACCACTAGTTATTTTAATAGGATTTATAGAAGGATTTACATTTCTTTTATATTTAAAGTTTTGTTAGTGGTATTAATATCTGAAAGCCGAATACCATTTTCTTCCCCACATCACTATAACTTTTTTAAGTCCAAGAAGCTTTACTACTTCCTATTCACTTTGTCCTAATACTCTGGGAGTGCTGCAGAGGAGTTGCTATTGTTACCATTCATACTTGCTTTCTGCTTAAAACCACACAAATGCTTGGAATTCAGCCATTCAAACAAAATCTAGTTTCCTTGCTACACTTTAGGATAACCTCAAACATTACAAAGTGAAAATAGTACTATTATTCGGAGAAAGAATGTCTAGCCTGTCTCTCTGCCCTCAATGAATTATATTACTGGTAATGACCAGTGATTGAGAGTGGGAAAACTTATAGGTCTTTAAATGTAGAACTTGAAAGTCATCCAAATCCACAGTAACAAATTCAAGAGCTATTTCTGAAGAGTAAAACCAAGTTGTAATGCTAATGGCTAAAATAGCAGTGTTGTTAGTAATAGTAACTGAAAAGCAGCAATCACTTAGGAAGGGCTCCAGTGTCCCCAGACACTCTTTTAGACACCTCATATGTAATAATATTATAATCCTCACACCAGCGAAGTGGGTATTAATACATCCACATTTTATAGACGAGAAAACAGAAGGACTTCTCACAAGATTAGTAAATGTATTCTTAAATAACTGGGAGGTTTTAACATATCAGGTTATATCAGGAAGTCTAATTTTTTTTAGTGTGTCATTAAAGTTCTTAAAAGGTGACAAGGGCCTTTCAGGTTTTTTGGTTGGTTAGTGTTTTGTTTTGTGTTTTTCCATAAATTCCCCAAAATTGACATAGGTAGACCTTAGTGGCTAAACAATGGCCAAACATACTAGTAAATTTGAAAGTAAAATTCCATGGTTAGAGACTTTTAAAACCTCATTAGGTGGAGAGAGAGGGCTTTATGTCTATCTTCAGAAATGTGTATATTTAGTCACTGCTGAGGACTTGAGTTCACTCAGGAAGGAATGCTAGGAAATGTATTCTTAACTTTAGAGGGAAACTTGAATTAGAAATGGAACCTACATTCTATTTGGGGGTAGAGGGAAGTAGAAAAATCAGTGTATATGTGAATTACATCATATATTAGAAGGTGATAAATGCTATAGAGAAAAATACAGCAAGCTAGTACCTTGGTTAGGGTAGCTGTTGGTCAGGGAAGACAGAGACTTAGAAGATGTAAGGAAGCAAAATATGCAGCTTCTGAAAGACGATGCTCCAGGAAGGGTATAGCAGGAATAAAAGCCCTGAAGCAGGGACATGGCTGTTACATTCAAGCAACAGCAAGGAGGGCTTGGTTGGAGATGAATTGAGGAGACGGAGCTGGAACACACAGGGCTCTGGAAGCCACTGTTTGGACTTAGGCCTTTATTCAGATATGAGGACCCTTTAGAGATTTGATCTATTGAGTGACATGATTTGATTTTAGCCTTTTAGAGAATCGTTCTTGCTGCTCTGTTGAGGATAGTTGTTAGAGGGCATGGGATGGAAGCTGACAGACCTGTTTGGAACCTGTTGGAATGATTTGGTCACTCAGGAGATGATGGTGGCTTGGGTCAGGGTCATTGTGGTAGATGTGGGGGAAGTGGTCAAACTCTGGTTGTGAATTTTAAAAGTAGAAGCAGTAGGATTTGTTGACAGACTTCATGTGCATGAGGCTTAGAGGAGTCAAGATACTGCAAGAGGCATAATAAGCTAGTTAGCACACTTTGGCATTAAAATATCAACATCCATAAATCTCTATTCACAGTGAAAGTTGGTAGCAAGTAAACACTGCCATCAAGTGGTGGTATTCAGGAGCTTTGGTTGCTTGAAAATCGTTAATTAGCCATTTTCTTTTCAACAGTTTTCCATCCAGTTATCATTCTAACAACAATCAGACTTCCGTGGTACCTGCACCATCTGCTTCATCAAATGTGATTGGTTCTTCTGCCATGACTTCAAGTGGCCTAGTAATGACCTCTCCTTCCAACCTTATTGACCTTAAGGAGGGCAGTGGCAGCAGAAAGGCCAGGGTTCTATACGATTATGATGCTGCAAACAGTAGTGAATTATCACTTCTTGCAGATGAGGTGAGTAATGTGGGTATAAGAAGAAAACTATTGTAGATTGACATATCTTCTAGTATAACAAAATGCAAATTCCTCATTACTTATTTGGAAATAGTTTATCATGAATGCTTTCATAGATTTCAATTTTATAGAATTTTAACTACTGTTCTTTAACAAAATATAACATCACATAAATATTTAAAGCTTTTAACTGCTAAATAACTGGAAGATTTCTAAAACTGCCTCTAAAAAATATCCTTTAACTTTTAGCAAAATTGACAATAATGTTTAAAGTCCCTTGATAGTGACTAGTTAAATACAAATCTGATTAGTTTCCTATGTGTTTATTTTTTAACATAGTAACTGGAAATATTTTTATTTTGTAGGTGATCACTGTGTACAGTGTCGTTGGAATGGATTCAGACTGGCTAATGGGGGAAAGGGGAAATCAGAAGGGTAGGGTGCCAATTACCTACTTAGAACTGCTCAATTAAATAGGAGGACTATGGAAAGATTATCCATCATGACACCCTATTTATATACAACTAACTCTAAATAAAGCAGGTTGAGTATCTTCCATGTTAATGTCTTAAAGAGACTGAAAAGAAAATACCAGCCATCAGAAACGGGCTTTCTGCCAATAAAATTGCTTGGTAACTATTTCATTACAGAATTTATGTTAGAACTTTCATACCAAGAATGTTTTCTTATAAAATTCTCTTTCTACTGAGGTTTCACTAATAAGCAGCTTCTACTTTTGAGCCCCAACTTAAAACAGAAGAACTGTTTTCTACTGAATTTTTCATTAATGGCAAGCTTTTTCTTTTCTGTAAAATAAATTTATTGTGAATTGATATCAGTGACTCATTTATTAGGTATAGCCAAAGAATAAAATTAAAATTTGTTTTTAACTTTTGGTTTCAGAAGAGACCTAGGATATAAACCTCTTTTGTGAAGAATATGTTTCTGAATGTTTCCTTGAACAGAAATGCAATTATACCATGTTTACCTTGTTTTCCAACAGAAGTTGAATGATTTCAATACCATATTTCAATGGGTTATTTTGAGGGGGGGTTGTTTATTTTATTAAACACTACTGAATGATTTAAATTTAAGAACAACTAGTCTTTGAAAAGCACTACCATATTTCTCTGGTATTTTTGCAGTAAAGGTTCTAAAATATCTGAGGCTAGTTCAATTCACTAAGCAATGTTTTAAGATTGTTCAATTGGCACAGTTTAAGCATGATCAGAATTGGACTCATTAAGAACATACTGCAGTACAATACAGAGAATTTGTTCTTACTGAACAACAAATCTTTATAAAAATACAAACCAGTGAAACTACATTCATCATAAAGTGTATACAAACAATCCACTTTTGGTTACTCTGAGCTTACTAATAAAATTTTGAAAACTTGTTAACTTATAAAATATTGATAAACTTAGTTTATCTTGATCAGGATCTGTAGTTATAAAACACACACTTACTGAAATTATTAGTGACACACTTTGAGTCAGAAAATTGTTATTTGGACCATTGCTGTGAATCAACAGATTGTGTCCATGTTAGAACTTCTGTCATTCTTATTCTATCATTTATTAAGCATTTGTTGAGGTCCAGGTACTGTGTTGATAACAAGATGCAGAATAAGTGTCACTGTCATGATAGGATAAGGTACTGTGTTTTGGTGCTTTGGGCGTCACCTGATTGAGATTTGGTGAGTGGGAGGTAGTTTGAAGAGGAAGTGCTTCATAGAGGAAAAGATGTGCCAGGCCAGGAGCCAAAAGAGTATAATACATTCTGACAGCGGAAAGTAATTCAGGCTAACTTACACAAGAATTGCAGAGATGTAGCTCATTTCAGGGAATGTTAGTGTATCAAAATGATATTTTTTTTGGTACTTTAAAAAATGATAATACTTAACACAAAAGGATATTTCAAAATGGTGTTTAAGAGTTCCTAATAACTTGGTAAACATGTTGATAATTTAACTCAGTCTAAACTTTTAACAGTAGTTGTTACCCTTTTATTTCGGTGCTATGAGACAAATTACTCTGAGATTTTATACTTGTACAAGACACTTTGATTCACACTGTGAATTGCCATACTCAAGCCAAAAGCTGCTCAAGCTGGTTAGCTATAGAACCAAGTGAGCAAGCTCCCCCCCCCCCCCCACCCCCCCCCCCCCCGCCCCCCCGAACCCGAGAAAGGAAGTTCTACAGACAGCCTAGAGTACTACCTATTATGTTTTATAAAGTCAAGATTTAGGCTTTAAAGATCATTTTTTTAAAAAATCCAGGTCAACTTTTAAAACAGCAACTATAAATCTGGTTTATAGGAAGTAGAGTAATGAAGGGGAGAGTACGACCACTGGAATGGAATGGTCCCTGGATTCAAGTCCAGTCTTCCTCACATACTGTGCTCTCTGAACTTCAACAGAGATAACGCGTGAACTGCTGTTTCCTTATTAGTAAAATGGGGATAATTATGCCACCTTAAGGTTATTATTATCTTGTATGTTAGGCAATTTTTAGGGAAAGTTTTGACACATAGGAAATTATCTACCAGTTTTCACTTTTTAGCCCTTGTAGCTTCCTGATCTACCAAGACTGTAGGCCTCGTTTATGACTGAACCAGAGATACCTCTTTTATATATATGATATGATATGATCTGTTCTACTCTTGTCCTATCCTCCACCCTCTTTAAATCAGACTCAGATCTAGGTTTAACCTCACCACAGTCAGTGTAAAATTTTATTAGACCCTTCTGCCTTCCACTAAATGAGTATTGACTATAGTAACCCAGTGATGTACATTAGCCTTCAATAATATTATGGTTCTAAGGCTTCTTGTGCCTTTGTTTACTACAAATCTACCACAACATGTGGGCTTATTCTTCTGTTTATTGCTTTTTATTTTAATGGTTTTTTGTGTGCTTGTTGGGAATGGGGGTTAGTTTTATTTTGGTTTTGGCTTATTTTGTAAAGTCATAGATTTAATTTTTACTCAGGTAAAGGCCCATAAAGGTTCTTTAGGCATAGAAGAAAAGCTTGGGAAGCCTATTAATTCACGGTGCAATTCAGAATTATTTAAATAAACTTTGTGCCCAGAGCTTAGGTATAGTAACATGTGAAAGATACTCATGAATAAAAAATAAACTTGGAGATAACTGTAGGCTCTTTTACAAATAAAAATAAGTTGTTGGGTTGTCTCTACATTTGTCCTCAAAGTAATCTAACCTAAAAAGTCCATGGTGTTAAATCTGTTTTTTTATGGTGCTAATTAGAAGAATTCATATTATAGAAGATTAGGGAAATAGGAATGTGCCTCACTCTGGGTAACGTGAGAAATAAACCTGAATCCAGTGGGTTAGAGTCCATCCTCCTAGGATGCTGTTACCTTCCACCAGTACAAGCGAACAGAATGTGAATGTAGGAGCTGGTGTTGGGAGGACATTTTCTGAGATAAATTGGGGGGGAGGGTGATGGAATGCTGGACCAGAAGCTACAGCATTGTTTATTTAGGCTCAGCTCTGTTGACAGGAGTCCTCAAAAATCTCTACTGTACTTCCCAAATGCCTGAACTTTTGAAATATGGAGTCGTAGTGTGTAGCACTTCAAACCTGGGTGAGGAGCCATAATAAATAGATGGCTTTGCACTTTGACCTACAGCCAGCTTTGTCTCAACCCCTTCTCCGCTTCTTGAGACTCAAAAGGGGAGGAAGGGTATTTAAGAGCACACCAGCCCCTTTCCCCCCATTGTCCTAATTAGGAAGCCTACTCAGTAGGGCAATGGTTCTCAGTGTGAGACCCCAAAATGGACAATAGCAGCATACCTAGGAACTGTCAAAAATGCTAATTCATATTTCCAAGTACTTCCTACATTAAGTTGTACTGATTTTTTTTCTTCAAGGGGCTGTAGAACTAGTCTTAGTTCTTCATGTAACATTTTAAGACAAAAATTGTCTTCTAGCATTAATCAAAATTATAGTTACTTTTACAATTTGTTTAGTATATATTGATCACTTAAGAGTGCAGGCTTTCTGAGATGCAGACCATAATTCTTTTGATCACAGTTGTTAGCTTAAGGCTAGCACATAGTGTGTACTCAAAAAAACTATTTCTAAGCCATATCCAAGACCTACTGAATCAAACTCAGAGGTAGGACCTAGCAATCTATTTTTACAAACCACATGGTGATTGTTCTGTTAAGGTAGAGAACCACTTCAGTAGAACAAGGAAAACTTCCCTGTCACCTTCAGGCCTATTATCTGACATCACTTGAGAAATTCCTGCCTTCTGTACCTGTACCAACGACAGTGCTGTCTTCAGTGTAGAGGAATCTTGTTGGGCTATATTATAAAGTGGATGTGAAGGTAGAGTATAGAATGCCAGTACTTGGTTGCTGTGGGAGTTAGTGGGATAGTCTGAGAAAGGTAAGCCCAACAACCCCCATTTCCAATCAGTGCAGTGGCAGTTTGACATCAAAGCACCCCAACAAACCATTATAGTGGTATCAGAATAACATGCATCTCTGACTCAGGTTGCTAAGCTCTGCTCTCATTCCCACTTCAAAGGAGGTTTGTCTAAGAATTGTTAAGGCTTAATAAAAGTCAGATATGTTGGTAAAAAGGAAAAAAATGTGAAAATATAGCTTAAAAGATAAAAATAACCTATAATACCACCATCCAGGAAGAACTGTTACTTAGGTGTATAGCCTTCCAGACTCTTCCATGCTTTTGTAGATATTTTTAAGTGGGATCAACTTGTACATACTGTTTTGTAACTTTTTCACTTGACAACACCATGACCATCCTGCTGTGTCAAATGTATTGCTGCATCTTTTTTAATAGCTGCATGGTATTCCTTCATATGTGCCACATTTTACTAAACGACTGTCGATTTCTAGGTTGTTTCTAATTTTTCACTAATAAACTGCTTTAAAGAACATCGTGTTACTAATCTTTTATGTGTTCTTAATATTCCTTAAGATGAGTATGTGGAAATGGAATTGCTAGTGGAAAGAAGATGCCAATTTTTAAAAGCTTTTGTTACTGCCACTTTGACCCCTAGAAAACTTAATCAATTTATACATTTTTATTAGCAGTGTGTGGAATTGTTTCTTTTTGGAGGGCTTCCAACTGAATGTTCGTATAGCCTTCTGTTTAAAAATAAAGGGTAAGAGGACAATAAAAGGACTCTGCAGCCCTAGCCTGTGTGTTCAGTGGTTAGAGTGTCAGCCCACACACCATAGACTGGCAGGTTTGATTCCCAGTCATGGGCACATAACCTCAGTTGCAGGTTTGACCTGGTCCCAGTCAGGGCGCCTGTAGGAGGCAACCAGTCGATGTGTCTCTCTCACATCAATGTTTCTCCCCCTAACCCCCACCCTGCTCTGTCTCTGAAAAGCAATGGAAAAAATATCCTCCAGTGAAATTAAAAAAAAAATAAGGACTCTGCAAAATTGAAACCAAGATCAATCTTAAATTATTCTAACATTACAGTTTACTGGTCTACCTTCTATTATGTATTTTGTCATTCTTTGGGAATGTTTGTAGTATTAGCTTGCCTCTTAATTTTATTCGATCTTCTGGAACCACTATCCCCTTTTTGACTTTTGCTGAAATGGTAGGAACACAATCTTAAGTAGACTGGAATCTTGTAAATTTGATGCAGGCTTACTGTTGGTTTGGGGGAGCATGGCCATAATAGAGAAAGGAGAAACTTTGAAGGGCAGACAGACACTGGCTCTCCCACTTGGTTTCCTGGCTTTGTGTCAGTCAACCTCTTTGAGCTTGTTTGCTTATCTCTAGAAATATAAGCCTCTGTAAGGTTGAAAGGAGTTGCCATATTATAGACAAAGTGCCTAGCACTTAGTAGATAATAACTTATTAGGGTTTCCAGCTGAGTATGTTAGATCCATTGCTACTACCAGCCTCTGTGGGGTAAACACCACTGCCATTGCCAAATAAAATCTGCCCTAAAAGCTGTCACAGTAAGTGGACATTGCCTCGTACATCCTGTACCTACAAAATCTAGTTCTTAAAGATTTTTCCACACTCCAGTATTCAAGTAACCTGACCAGATAAAACTCCCCAACAAGGTGTCTAATGGAAAATTTCAACTCCTTTGCTTTTATAGTGGTGTATCAAAGTGATAATCATTCTAAAATGGTGAGCTCGCATGGCAGCAATGCCTTTTAATTGAGACTGCCCCACCTTAACCCAAAGCTGCTCTTTGTGCTTTGGAGGGCTTGTCCTCCACCTGTGAGAACCTGACAGCTCAGCTCAATCAAGGTGATGGTAATTAGCCAAGTCCCAGTGGCATCTCCAGAACAGGAGAACAGAGTGGATTAGTCCATTATGAAAGAAGTTTATTTAGAGAAGTATCTGAAATCTAAAATTTGCTCAGCAAAACTTCCAAAAGGTTAACAGCTAAGTAATCATAGCAGACAAAAGCCCCAAGTACCAACCCATTTTCACATTGGGATGAATGCCTGTAACTTTATATTAGCACTGGTTTGTTGATTATAACTTGAACTACTCCGCCAATAAAAAGTGAGGTAATAAAAGAACTTCAAAGGGGTGAAAACAAGGAAGGCTTCAGGTCTATGAGACTAAAACAAAATTAAGTGACTGATTATGAGGTAAAAGAAGATGGCTATCATACAAGCAACTTTTCTGGAAGTGTGATGACTACGGTTTAGGGCACGTTTCTACCTACCCCCATGTTCTAACGAAACTTGAGTTGTAGTAGGTAGTCCCCAACATCCACCTACCTTGATGCCTGCTTGCCTTTTGTATGCAATTTTGCTGAAATAGTAGGAACACAATCTTCTACAGCCACTGTGGAAGACAGTATGGAGTTTCCTCAAAAAGTTAAAAATGGAACTCCCATTTGCCCCAGTAATCCCACACCTAGGTCTATATCCCAAGAAACCAGAAACACCCATCAGGAAGGATATTTGCACCCCTATGTTTACAGCAGCACAATTTACAATAGCTAAGATTTAGAAACAGCCTAAGTGCCCATCAGCAGATGAATGGATTAAAAATCTGTGGTACATCTACACAATGGACTACTACGCTGTTATAAAAAAGAAGGAACTTTTAACATTTGCAACAACATAGATGGAACTGGAGAACATTATGCTAAGTGAAATAAGCCAGTTGGAGAAAGATAAATATCACATGATCTCACCCATAAGTGGGATATAATGATCAACATAGTTTGATGAACAAGAATAGATCGATCTAGAGACAAATGGTGGGGGAGGCAGGAGTT